GAAAAATCTAATTTTGCTGAGTACAACCTTGTAAAATTCCAAAGGAAGTATGGAATCACTCAACACAACCCCCTCCCTTACCTAAACAAGGGTATAAGACCCCACTTTTCCTGTTCTGGCTCGCTCGATTTGGACGCATTAAACCCTCGGGCCCGCTGGGATGGCCGGCGTAATAAAGTGCCACTTTCTATAATAGTCTCAGTGTCATGATCTCTCTATTTTTCCTGCTACAGTATCTTTACCCCATTTGGGAAACATCAGTTTTCTCCCTTTGAAATAATAACAGGAAAGTCTATGCACCTGGATGGAGCTCACAAACCATCTCTCCTTAAAGGTGATAGTCCTTATTATTGCCGAGGCCTCATAAAACTCCTCACTAAAAATGAATGACAGATTCTTTTTCGTTGTTTTTTTTTTAACATTGAGCTCCCCGAAATGAAAGCATAAAAGATCATGGCCTCTGACCTAGAAATGTGGTTATTGGAAATGATATTAAATAAAATATTCTCTCCAACATGTTGGAAGAGACCGTACTAAAGAGGAATATAAGGTTCAATTAGGCCAGCATCAATTGGGTAAATTTGGTAAATTATATTATGGAAAAGGACCTCAAGATAAATACCTACAAAGAAACTTACTGATAACCACAAGGAGCTGTAAAAGCTAGCTAGCCAGCTGTAAACTATTTGCTGTTAGGTCAACAATAAACAGGAAGTAGTTAACCATTCATTGCCAGTTCCAAGGTAAACAAGAAGCAGTTAATTATTGTTAACTATTGATGTTATTTTACCCTACCTTAAAGTAACAAAACTTTGCAATCAATCAGCCTTTCACAAACCTCTGGGAATTTCCTTTTGCAGACCTCCCCCAGAGACAATTTCCCCAGCCTTAATTGGATCTCAATATAGTCTTAGAAATACTGCTATCTCGCCCTTGCCTCTTTGCAGACAGCAAACAGCAAACTTTCTCTCACTGCCATCCTACTTATTGTGTCCTTCACAACGCATCTTCCCTTTAATACATCTTCCTGTTTTCACTATTTTGGTAAATTCTTCTTACCAACCCATGACTCTGACCATACCAAGTCCACTGCCACACACAGCACATACCAGGTATTATTAACAAATTTTTAGCCAGGTACAGTGGCTCACACCTGTAATCCCAGCACTTTGGGAGATGGAGGCAAGAGGATTGTCTAAGCCTACAGGTTTGAGACCAGCCTGCGCAACATGGCAAGACCTTGTCTCTACAATTAAATTAAAAAATTAGCCGGGTGTGGTGGCGCACACCTATAGTTCCAGTTGCTTGGAAGACTGACGCAGGGATGCCCTGAGCCCAGCAGGTCGAGGCTGTGGGGACTGTGAGTGTGCCACTGCACTCCAGCCTGGGTGACAGAGTGAGACTCTGACTCAAAAAAAAAAATTTTGTGCAGCTAAACTCAGAGGCATTGACTCATGGATTCACATTTCTTATTTTAAAAAGGAAGGCTGCCTGAGTGGACATCTTCTCTCACTAAAGATCTCCAGCTATAGCTGACTCGCATCAGTCACCTTGTTCTTCAGACCATGACAAAAAGTTAAAACCTGGTTAAAAAAGATCATTCCAAAGGCTCAATGGCTATGCAACATTACAATGACAGATATCTAATGTGATTTATTTCACCGGTTACCTTCAGGAATAAGAACACTTTCCAGATCTGTATTTCAAATTGTTAATAATGATCCTTTTTTGCATCATATTTTTAATTCTGAAATTGATTGTGCTTTGTATTTCTAGAGGTCTAAAGTCAACAACAAAAACTAAAACCATGATAGCTGCATGCTTAGAAATAATCCAACATGCCACAGCTCCTTTGTAAGTGGATGGCCTGACTGAGAGCCCATTGTTTTGTCCTTTTGTTTTGCCAATCAATTTGGCCTTGAGACCTCACTGAATTCTTGAGCCATGGTACTTCTCTTTTCCCCATGTGAGATCAGATTACTTGAAAAGGAGTCTTCGCAATGATGTAGGACAAACTTACATCTAAAATATTAATCAGTGTATTCAGAAGAGAAAGACATCAATCAAAAGGGGGAAATAAGGTCAGATATGGTGGTCCATGCCAGTAATCCTTGTACTTTGGGAGACTGAGGCAGTGGATTGCTTGAGCCCAGGAGTTCGAGACCAGCCTGGGCAATATAGCAAGATCTTGTCTCCACAGAAGGTAAAAAAAAAAAAAAAAAAAAAAAAAGTAGCTTGGCATGCTGGTGTGCACCCATAGTTCCACCTACTTTAGAGGCTGAGGCAGAAGGATCAACTGAGCCCAGGAGATCAAGACTGCAATGAGCCGTGATTATGCTACCTGCCCTCTAGCCTAGGCAACAGAGTGAGACCCTATCTCCAAAAAAGGGGGGGAGGTGGAGATGAGAAAGGAAAGTGGCTCAGAGCAGCCTGAGCAATGTCAGCTCTGCAAAATGTATCAGACCCAGAGAGAGACCAGCATGAGACTTCAGTCACAGTCCCCTGCAGTTATGCCCAAGGATAACTGTTTCAAGTCATTGTTTTTTCTTTCCTTCCCTATAGTTTCCAGACTAACTGATAAACTACCTAAAATGTTACCACAAGTTGCACAGTGCCACCCTCACCCATTATTTTCATGCTCCTGAAATTTGGATTACAAAAAGCATTGTTAAACCAGTCAATAGCTATAGTTATTTATTTATTTTTTCATTTTTTGAGTTGGAGTTTCACTGCATCGCCCAGGCTGGAGTGCAGTGACACACTCATGGCCACCCCAGTGTTGACCCACTGGGCTCTGGCAGTCCTTCTGCCTGAGTCTTCCAAGTAGATGGAACTACAGGCGTGCGCTACCATGCCTGGCTAATTTTTTATTTATTATGGAGACGAGGTCTCACCAAATTACCCGGGCTGATCTCGAACCTGTGGGCTCAGACAATCCACTCCCCTTAGCCTCCCAAAGTACTGTGATTACAGGCTGAGCCACTGAGTCTGGCCATCTTATGTTATTTTAATATAAATTCTTGTAAGCAATTTAAGAACTGGCCCTTTCTTTTTTCCTTTAAAAACCCACTTGTAACTATTACTAATCAGCACACATATTCAGGATAACTTGAGTCTGTGTGCCCCAGGCCACAATCCTCAACCTTGGCTCAAATAAACTACTTACATTAATTTTGCCTCCATTTCTTCCTTATGTTGACAGCAGCTATTTAGGTCAAGTGAAGCATTTATTTATCAGATAAACCCACAGTCCCACTCCTAAATATCTACCCAAGTGAAACAAAAACCTATGTGTGGAGGAACATGAGGCCCAATTAGGCCTACATCAATTGAGTAAATTGGGTAAATAAATAATTTTGAGGAAATCTCAGAATGAAACAAGAATTGTAAAAGCTGAATAACCAATTATAAAACATTTGCTATCAGTTCCTTACAAACAAAAAAGTACTTAACAACTCACTGCAGGTTCCCAACAAACTCAACTATTGCTGTTAAAGAAACAAAACCCTTTAGTAGATCAGCAGATTTACAAATCTCCAGCAGTGCAATTTGCAAACTTCTCCATGCCCTACAGGCAATCTCCTGGCCCACATTGAATCCCATACTGTTGTATAAATGCTTCTATTTAGCTCTCCCCACTTGGCAGACAGCAGACACGCTCTCACAACATATCTTCCCTTTAATAAATCTACCTTTCTTAATTCATAATTGTCCGTGAATACTTTCACCCCCACGACTCCAGCCTATCTGGCTTACTACACACAACACCATGCTTCATGTTTTCATGCACACACACAAACTAAATATATATGTTTATAGCAGCTTTATTCATAATGGTCAAAATCTGGAAATAACTCAAATGTCTTTCAGGTGGGAAATAGGTAAACTTTGGTAGTTTGGTACAATGTGAAATTATTAAGCAATAAAAAGGAACGAGCTCTTGGAACACACACCACACAGATGAGTCTCAGATGCATTATGCCAAGTGAAAGATGCCTGACTCAAAAGGCTACATATTTATGATTCCATTAATATGGCATCCTTGCAAGGACAAAATTATAGGCCAAAACATATCAGCCACAGGTTGGGGGCTGAAAAGGAGAGATTTATTACAAAGGGCACAAGACAATATTTTGAGGTGATGGAACTGTTCTATATTTTGACCACAGGTAGTAGTTATACCACCCCATCCTTGTCAAAACTTTCACAACTGTATATTAAAATGGGTGAATTTTACTATAAATTATACTATAATAAAATAAAAGGGATAGAGGAATATCTGAATTTGAAAGACCAGGCATGTTCTCCATAAAAAGGGCATATTTCAAACAAATATGTGTAGAATGATCCAGTTTATATATTTATTATTTTTTCCGTTTATATATTTTGGGTTTTTTGTTTGTTTGTTTGTTTGTTTTTAAGTTGGAGTCTCACTCTGTTGCCCAGACTAGAGTGCAGTGGCCGCTCCCGGTCACTGCAGCCTCAACCCACTGGGCTCCGGCGATCCTTCCGCCTCAGCCTTCCGAGTAACCGGAATTACAGGCACGCGCTACCATGCCCAGCTGATTTTTTTATTTATTGTAGAGATGAGGTCTCGCCAACTTGCCCAGGCGCATCTTGAACCCGTGGGCTCAGGCAATTCACTCACCTCGGCCTCCCAAGACGTGGGATTACAGGCTGAGCCACCGAGCCCGGCCGGCCTATATATTTTTAAAAATAAATATTTACAGAGATATTTTAAATATAAAGGATAGAAAACAACTTGCTAATATCCCTCTGGGGAATAAAATGACAAGGAAACTTTCATTTTCTATTTATACCTTTGTTATTGGTACTATTATAATCATTCAAAATAAGAAAGCTTTTAGTTAAACAAATAAGCTTCCCCAGGACCTAAACATCTTTTTATACCCTGCCCTAAACACACAGCAGTCCCGCCCCCTCACCTGAACACACAGCAGCCACACCCCCTCACCTGAACACATTGTGGCCCCACTCACCTGGAAGAACCTTGTCTTCATGTACATGGCACCGTAGCCCTCTCGGTGGCTGAGGTAAAACATGCCTGTGAAACTGGAGCCATCCGGCCACATGTAGGTGCCCAGGCCATGGCAGTGATCCCGGTAAAACTGCCCACGGTACAACTGTGAGATGGAGAAGTTGGTGGCCCATGGTGTCTGAGAAACTGCTGCTTTCAGCCCTGAGCCTGACCAGATGCCATCGAAGCCCAGTCACAATACCTGACTGACAATGCATGAGGACCATCAGGACTATCTCAGGTTTCACAGGCCGCCTGGCTACAGGGCCTCCTTCAAGTGGAGGTGGCAAACCTGACTTAGAGTTTGCCACCTAAAGCACCCAGAGTGATTGCCAGGCAGTTGGCCCTGATTGCCATACTCCCTCCCTGTCCTCTGCTCAGATGGGGAATGTGGGGGGGGGGGAGTGTTTGCAACTGCCAAGACATCCTGAATCAGGAAGACATGGACCTGCTTCTTCCTGGGTCCTTAAGCTTGAGTTTAAGTTGGCCCTGACCCCACTCAGAAGCCCCAGCATGCCATGCTCCCTGTCAGGTTCATAGGCGGCACCTGGTCCTGGGAAGGGAGGCTGCAGGCCCAGGAATAGGCACACGGGCAGGACATTGATTTATAACTTCTCAAATTGGGACACAGGCTTTAGAAGCTTGGACAAGAGTACCTGGCAGTTGTCCATGTGCACAGTCCACCCAGATCTGACACCCAGTGTGAAGGGGATAGCCATTTTTGCTGACTTAGTGTCCCTTCCTTTTCTTCTGACAGCAGACACCCTCTTCCCTGCAGAGATGAATTTTCATGGGACCCTAGCTTCCAGCCTATGGTTCAGGTCTGGCCAACCAGAGGACACCTTACCCCAGCCCCAGCCTTGATGGGTTTGGCCATATCCCGTGTCTCCAAGCCAGACCAGCATTGTGCTGGGGCCTTTTTCTCTTCCATGGGTGTATGACACCATCCCTAGGGGCTGGTCAGATAATGGAAGGTCAGTCTTAGACCCCCTCACATGGAGATGGAAAGAGGGAGTGCTTGATGGGGTCCTTAGAACCCCTGGATCCAGCCAAGCCTGAGGCTACCTGCCCCTTGGACTGTTAGTTATAAGAGCCAACAAAGACCCCAATGCAGGTTCAGCTGCATTGAATTTGGGCTCTGTTTGTTGCTATTCTGATGAGCTTGACCAACATGTTCTCTCATTTTGTCTTTTAGAACGTCTTTGCCTTCTGCTTAAGGTTAAACACAAGGAGATTTCACCAATGTAAATACATAAGTCACTACAGTAATTCATAATTTTAAAACATTTGCCCAGATTAAGAATTTTTTTTCTTTTCTATTCTTTTCTCTTTTTTTGGAGTCAGGGTTTCACTCTGTCACCTAGGCTGGAGAACAGTGGCATGATCATGGTTCACCACAGCCTCAGCCTCCTGGGTAGCTGGGACCACAAGTGCCTGCCATCATACCCGGTGAATTTTCGGATCTTTTGTAAGGATGAGGTCTTGCTAAATTGTCTAGACTGAAGAATTTATCTTCTTAAATCACAGCATCCCAAACCTAATTCTACAAACCTTAGGGCAAACAATGGGCATGATATTGGATGTCTGGAAGGATATTCTTCTACAGACATTTTTTTTTTCTTTTTTGAATTGGAGTCTCACTCCGTCACCCAGACTGAAGTGCAGTGGTCGCTCCCGGCCACCACAGCCTCGACCTGCTGGGCTCCAGTGATCCTTCCGCCTCAGCCTTCTAAGTAGCTGGAACTACAGGCGGGCGCTACCACACCCAGCTCATTTTTTATTTATTGTAGAGATGAGGTCTCGCCAAGTTGCCCAGGTGGGTCTCGAACCCGCGGGCTCAGGCAATCCACTCACCTCAAAGGCGTGGAATTACAGGCTGAGCCACCAAGCCCGGCTCAGACATTTCTTAAGAAGGAAAGACCTGGCATCCTTCCTGTTGACACCACATCATTCTCAGAAGGAAAAAGACCAGCAGCCATAGCTGGCTGAGCCTAGGTTAGAGCCCCTAGGGGAAGAGGTGAAGGAAGTGGTGAAAAAAAGTTACCTCGCCTGTGGGCCAAGAGAATTCACCATATCCGAGCTTCATGTTTAGTCCAAACTCCCCTCGGTAGATGCAGCCATCCTGCCACTCCTGCACGCCCTGGATGAGCTGGATGTAGGCCTCCTTCAGGTCCTGTATCCTCAGGGGACCCTCAGATTCTTCCTCCTCCTCCTCAGAGGCTGTTAGGCTGTCCCTAGGAGGACAGAGAGCAGAGGGAGGGAATAGCAAGTCAGCTGAAGCACATTCAGTGACTGTAAGGAGCACAACCCCCTTTTCATTTCATCCTTTCAACCCTGAAGCAGGTGCTATTGTTGTCCCCATTCCACAGAAAAGGTAACTGAGGCACAGAGGGTGTAGTAATTGCCCAGATCACACTGGAATTTGAACCCAAACTGACAAGGGTAAATGGCTGCAGGCCCCCAGAGGCAGGACATCAGCCCTCTCCAGCCTGGGGCCCGCTGTCCGCCCTACCTCAGACCCGATGGCCCCGCCAGATGTCTGCTGGGCGCATGTGGCCACAGCAGGGTCCTCTCATGAAAGCTGACAGCACTAGCCCCAAGCAGGGCAGGACCCACTGAAGGTCAGAGGACAGTTAGTGGCAGTCAGCTGACACTAAGATGGACAGATGAATGTAGGGGGTATGCAGCAACAGGAAGATAACACAGGAGAGAGTGGATTTATCAAAAGTTATAAGGGGATTAACCCCAACCCTTCCCACACATATCCCTCCTTCTGCGTGCCACCATGCCCCCAAACTAAAAGGTTCACTGGGGAATGCTGTGTGCTAGTGGCTCTGTCTACAGACCTGTTCCACCGCCAACCTGACAGCCTGAATGGGTAGCACATGGCCTGGGAACCTTCAGACCCTGACCCCCTCTACCAGGCTGCCCTCAAATGCCAGTTGTGGGTCACAAAGTATAGACAAAGCATCTGGCCAATGAAGACAGGATTTAGCTGCTGAGAACACAAAATCTAGGCTTGATGTATTATTTGCACATAGAAAGCAGCCCAGAAGGATAGACACCCAACAGGGGCACAGATTTGGTTGGTTTTTCTTTTGCTTACCTGTTGTTATGGATTGAATCGTGTCCCCTCCTCCATTCTCATGTAGGAGTCCTAACCAACCTCCAGTGCTGTGCCTCACAATGTGACCTTATTTGGAGACAGGGTCTTTATAGAAGTAATCAAGTTAAAGTGAGGTCATTAGGATAGACCAATATAATAAGGTCATTAGGATGGATCCAGTATGATTCCTGACCTCATAAAAAGGGGAAATTTGGACATAAATGCATAGGGGAATATGAACAGACAAAGGGAGAAGCCAGCCGTCTACAAGACAAGGAGAGGAGCCTGGGACAGTCCCTCTGGGTCCTGTTCCACAGCCTCAGAAGGAACCAAGCCTGCTGAAACCTTGATCTCAGACTTTCAGCACTGAGAACTGAGGCTATTGTTTGTTTTTTAAGCTTCCCAGTCCATAGTTCTTTGTTATATGGTAGTCCTAGCAAGCAAATACACCTATATTTTCTCATGGGACAGGTATTACGTGTTTAATTTTATATATATAATATCCAGGCACAGTGGTTCACAACTGTAATCTCAGCATTTTGGGAGATTGAAGTGGGAGGACACTTGAGGCCAGAAGTTCAAGACCAACTTGGACAACAGTGGAAGTAGCCCTTCCCATTAACAACGGAGCTGTGAAGAAGCTGGTTCAACTTGGGAAAAACTCCATCTTGTAAAGGAAGTGTTCCGAACATCTACTAGGAAGTGAAACCCAATGGGCAGAGAAGGAAACGTGAAAAGATCCCGCATGAGATTCAATTGCCCATTATTGTCCTTTTCCCTCAGAAGTTGTTGATGTAACGTTGAGGATTTTCTGTTTCTCCAGTTTTGGGGGAGTGTGGGAAGTCAAACAACTGGCAAATTTTAATGCTTGTCCCAATGTGCATCCCAGCTAACTCTGGACCCCTGAGTCAGAGTCGGACTTTCCTGCCAGAGGGTACCCCCGCACCTTTTGGTGAAGACGGTGTGACTTTCTGGGGATCCCAGGTACTCAACAGCAGGGGTGTCATTGCCTTTCCCTTCCAGCAGACGTTGGGGGCTGTAAGTTTTTGAGACTTCGTAGTCTAAAGTGAAGGGAGAATGACCACCTTCCATGTCTCGGGTCTTCGAACCTGCAAACAAAGCGGGGGTCCACACATTCACCCCCAGGGCTCCGGCCAGGAACACCGTGGGCACCTGAGGACCCGCACAGCCCCATCGGCCTGGGGTCAGGCCCCGAGCCAGCTAATGCTATCGACAGCAGGGTCCCTCTTGCGCCTGCGGGCCTCGGAAACTAGTCCTCGAGAGCAGCGGTGGACACCAGGCGCGGGATGCGCCGCTTCCACCCAGCCCCGCACTCTGTCCTCCCCGGGGACTCGATGGGCCGGGCCCCCACCCGCCGGGACCACCCAGCTCCCGACTCCCTTGCCGCAGGGCCGCACCGAGGCTCGGAAAGCTCGCACCGAACAGCTCGCGCCGGACAGCACGGAGACTGCCCAGGACCGCGGCCAGCAAGGCGGAGACCGGCTCGCCACACTGAGCCTGCGACTCCCTCTGCTCAGTCGGATGGCGTCGGTTTCCCTGGAGACGGGCCCCGCCCCGACCGCAGCCCCTCCCAGCCCAATCCCCGCCCCGGCCCCGCCCTCGAGCGTGCCCGCCCTTCTGTGACCTCACCGACTCGTTGCCGCCCGGCCTGCGGGCCTCTGTCCACCACCCCGCCCCCACTCGACACCTGCCCGGCCAGCGCAGAGGCCAAGTGCCCCTAGGAGATAGCGCTAAATGCGTCCAACACCTTCGTGAAGGGGATACTAGGAGCGCCGTGTGACACTTGAAACTGAGGCTCAAAAGCTTCATTAACTTGCCCCAGATCTCCTAGAACGTGGTGGAACCACGGCTTTAACACGTGCTTTTTCGGATGTTGGTGACGCAAGGCGGAGCTCGAAATCTGCTGGAGGAGCGAGATGAACGGAGGGCCGCAGGGGTCACCGGAGAGAAGAGGGATTGGTTGTCTGGACCCAGGGTCACGGGGAAGACCCGAGGGACAGAGGACTCCTGGATAGGGTTAAAGAGGATGTGCAGGAGCTCTCCGGACTAGAGGACACATTTCAGGAACTGGCTGGCTTGTGCGGAGGCACAATGCCGGGAAACAGCATTTCTGCTGCTGAAGCAAGTCAGCCTTCCTGGCGAGGGGAGAGGCCCTCTGAGGGGCGGGGCTTGGGTTTCTCAGCCTAGACTGCTTCTGGGAACAGTGCTTCACAGGGCGCGGGATGCGTCCATACCCAGCCCCTCTCCGCAGGCTGGCTTTGCGGGGACTAAAAACTAAGGTAACCAGGTCAAGATTCTAGGGTTTGGGGGGCACTTCCTCCACACTCCCTTCCAGGCTGTCTCCCAGTTCACGTCTTTCTTCTCCCTTAGCTCCTCCTACCCACCTTGGTTCCTTGAGCCACTGGCTCTGGACCTCTCAGTCTTTCCTCCTCGGGTCCCCTCTTTCTGCCCAGCTCCCTGCAACTGCACCGTGAGAACTAAGCAAACTGGCAAACTAAGCTGTTTAAAATTCGTTATGAAAAGAGAATGAAAAACAGTCCATTGAAACTTCAAAATAGCCTACAAATCTCTGAAGCCTTACCACCAGTTGGCTGGAGGCAACTTGGGTCCACTCCTAAAGCTGGAGGTGGAACATCCCCACCTAATTGAATGGCTCCCATGAACTCTGGGTTAAAAAGGGAATTCCATTCCCTCCCCATCCCGGGAGAGCCAGAGTCCTTCTTAGGGTGGAGGAAGAGGGAAATGGATAACAGTAAGGCCCCCACGGAGATGATGTCTAGACTTGTCGCCAGTGAAGATCGGGCTGCACAGATAATTGAATTTTTAGCTCAAGAGTGAACCCCAGGTTGCTATAAAGATCTGGTGGTTCCAGGCCAAGCACGATCACTCACACCTGCAATCCCAATACTTTGGGAGTCTGAGGCAGAAGGATCCCTTGAGGTAGTAGTTTGAGACCAGCCTGTACAACAGAGTCCCTTCTCTAAAAAAAAGAAAAAAATTAGCCGGGGTGGTGGTGCGGTCTGTAGTCCTAGCTACTCCGGAGGAGGAGCACTCTTAGGCAGGAGTTCCAGACAGCAGTGAGCTACGATGGCACCACTATGCTCCAGCCTGAGCAAGAGTAAGATCCTGTTTCAAAAAAATAAAAACAAGAAACCAGCACAATATTAAATGTGTATGCACTCAACATCAAAACTTCAAAATACATTAAAAAAAATTTTTTAATGATCTGACAGTTACCAATGCGAGGTGGCTGCTGGAAAGGAGACAATGAGATTGTACAGGTAATTTTTGTCAGGTTTATCTAACACTAGGTTAAGGGTGGGGATAATAGAGAAGAATTTCAGGGAGAATGGTTGCAAACAAGTAAATAATGGAAATTAATCAAATAAGTTTTTATTATCAGAATAAAACTGAAACTGTAATTATTAAATGTCTGCAAACCTGTGAGACCGTTGCTTTTTCACTGAATCCACTCCCTGAAAAATGCCAGACATCAGAAAAATCGACTGAAGAGGCCTTCTTAAATGACTTCATGGACATTAAATGATATTAAATACATTTCTAGAAGTACAATGCTGACCCTAAAAATATTTTTAAAATAACAAGAGAAATACTGGTCTATGAATGATGAAAAGATAATGGTAAATGGTTTTACTGTATATGAACCATGTTTTAAAATAAATAGAAAAATAAAATGCAAAAATTACAAAGGGCAATGTCTTAGGAAGCAGATAAGAAAAAGAGATAAAACGTAAAGCTGTAATAAAATGCACCACAGCCAGCAGTGCACTCACAAGTGGTTAAGAAAGCAGGAAACAGACTGGGTGCGGTGGCTCAAGCCTGTAATCCTAGCACATAGGGAGGCCGAAGTGAAAGGATTGCCTGAGTCTTGCCTGAACTGGGTTTAAGATCAGCCTGGGCAACTGGGCGAGACGTCTCTACAATAAATTAAAAACTTAGTCGGGCGTGGTAGCACGCTCCTGTAGTTCCAGCTACTTGGAAGGCTGAGACAGAAGGATCGCCTGAGCCCAGCAGGTCGAGGCTGCGGTGGCTAGGAGTGTGCCACTGCACTCCAGCCTGGGCGGCAGAGTGAGACTCCGACTCAAAAAAAAAAAAGGCAGGAAACCAGGTATCCTGCTATCCACTGCCTGAGTGACAGCCACGCGGCCCTTACAAAACGGCATGGAGGACACCAGTGTCCAGATTAGCATCTGTGACAGGTGCTCCTCTGCACAGCAGGCAAACCTCTAGGAGGCAGCCCCCGCATCCCCAAGCCCTGCTGTCCCCACTGGGTAGGACGCGCCTGGCTCCGGTGCCCACACCGAGGGACACGTCGCTATGGCCGGCGGGACTGGCTGTTGCAGTGCTAAAGCCCAGCCCCGCAGGCCAGCTACCACTGGAGCCCCGGCAGCCGGAGACAGAACGCGGCGCTCGGGGACAGAAGCCGCTTCGCCCGGGCGCCCAGGCCACGCAACCAATCCCCGCCCCGTCCATCTGGCCGCTGCCATCCGACACTTCGGGGGGCCAATCCCCGGAGGCGGCCAGCTCGGCCGGGTCAATGCGGCGGCGATCAGGGCACACGCCACAGCCTGGCCCGGAGACAGAGGGCTCTAGGACCCGAAGGAGCCCAGTCGGCTTCCCGAGTCCATAAATAGACCCTCCGTGCTGGCACCCGAGGGCGGGCCATGGACCCGGGAGGAGCCGGACGCCGCGAGGCCACGCCGCCGCTACCACCGCCGTTCGCGCTCGTCGCACCCTCGCTCTTGCTCGGGAGCGCGCGAGCCGCGGTCGCAACGCAGTTGCTGGAGCGTGCGGGCGTCACGCTGTGCGTCAACGTCTCCCGCCAGCAGCCCGGCCCGCGCGCCCCCGACGTGGCCGAGTTGCGCGTGCCTGTGTTTGACGACCCGGCCGAGGACCTGCTGGTGCATCTGGAGCCCACGTGCGCCGCCATTGAGGCAGCGGTGCGCGCCGGCGGCGCCTGCCTAGTCTACTGCAAGAACGGCCGCAGCCGCTCGGCCACCGTCTGTACCGCCTACCTCATGCGGTACCGCGGCCTCAGCCTCGCGCAGGCTTTCCAGGTGGGGCGGGCCTTCCGGGTGGGGCGGGCTTCGGAACTGGGAGAGGCACTTCCGGGAGGGGCGGAGTTCATTCATAGGGGCGGGTTTGAGTACTAAGAGAGGCACTTCCTGATTGGGCGGAGCCCACTTTTAGAGGCGGGGCTTACTCGGGCCTTCCTGGCCACCAGGGCAATTTGGGGGTATTTAATTCACCTCTTGTTTGCAGATGGTGAAGCGTGCCCGCCCGGTAGCCGAACCCAATCCAGGTTTCTGGTCTCAGCTCCAGAAGTATGAGGAGGCCCTTCAGGCCCAGTCCTGCCTGCCCGGGGAGCCTTCAGGGACAGCTCTTCCCAGCAGCGGGAACGTTCCGCCTTAGGGGACGGTTCTAAATCCTTGGAGAGGGCATGTCCCAAGCCTGTGACCCTGAGAGGGAGAAGTGTTCCTGCACTGAAAGGAGGCTGGTCTTTCCCTGCTTCCTCACTGTCACGCTGAGTTTTCATTTTCCCCAGTTCAACCCCATCTTCCCGAAACGCAGATCAAGAGGGTCTCTGTCCCCTCTTGATGGTGGTGCAAGGATGTGTGTATCCAGGAGGGGACTGTCAGAGAGGGTCCAAGGCTGCCCGAGACAGAGTTCTTCCCTCCCTCTGTTCAGCTAGGTTGATTAGTCAGGCTTTAGTCAAGGAACTCTAAACCGCTTGAGGAATCTTATGCAGCGAGAACTTGAATACAGGGAATCAGAGGCTGGGAGCCAAGGGCAGGAGATGGGAAAGTAGGACAGGGATCCACCAGGATCCCAGCAGCCTGCACCCTTGAAGTTCAGCTCTCCAGGGCACCTGGAGTCCCGTTGCATCTCCTCCTCTGGCCTCCCAAACATCTCACTGCTCCCATCTCAGCACTGAACAGGGATTCTGCCAGGAGGGCACAGTTCTCCATGTTGAGACTGGCTGTGCAGCTGCTGTGACAGGCAGGGGAGGGTGATGCTGTTCTGACGGGCCACTCATCAAGGGCACCCTAGGGGCTCTCAGCATCTGCACCCCCCTCCTGTCTTGACCTCCCTGTTTCAACAACATTGCATCCCAACCTAATGTTACATAGCCACCATCAAGCCAGTGATGTGCTGGTCCTCCCCAAGTGTGAAGGCAGATGCCCATAAGCCTCCACTGGGCACATCAGAGTGTGCTGATTTCTAGTTCAGATACAATCTCTCCTGACATCCTATGGCCTAAACACTATCCTAGAATCGGTACTCCTTTTTTTTTTTTTTTTTTTTTGAGTTGGAGTCTCACTCTGTCACCCAGACTGGAGTGCAGTGGCTGCTCCCGGCCACCACAGCCTCAACCTGCTGGACTTCGGCAATCCTTCCACCTCAGCCTTCCAAGTAGCTGGAACTACAGGCTCACACTACCACGCCCGGCTAATTTTTTGATTTATTGTAGAGATGAGGTCTCGTCAAGTTGCCCAGGCGGTTCTCAAACCCGCAGTCTCAGGCAATCCACTCACCTCAGCCTCCCAAAGCACAGGATTACAGGCTGAGCCACCGAGCCCAGCTGGTACTCCTTAAATAAGATGGTAGGAAAAGGGAAACGTGGGCAGTATGTATGAATTACAGATAATATAGTCACTGGATAATATATACAAATATATTCATATATATTTATATTCTATATGTGGTCATGAATAAACTACTGTGGCTGGTGTTTATCATTTCCCTTTTCCACTATTCATTCCATGTTCTCTCTCCCCTCAGCCAGTGTCTCAGCTGGTGGTGGCCTTTATCTGGTGGGGTGACTCGAGCCTTCATTCCTGAAGGCCTCGGGCCATGTGTGGTCTGCCTGCATAGGTACTGTTGCCTCCATTACCTGTACTGCATCACAAGGGAGAATTAGGAGGACACTCCTTCTGGCTTCCAAGCAGCACAAAGCCCTGCTGCCCATTGAGAGTCAGGATCAGTCACTCCACCCAGCAGAGCAACCCCTGTGTTGCCTGATGCTTCAGTGACCTAAGAATCCCCAAATGGCGGGATGGTGCCCCTAGGCGGAAGCATCCTACCTGGGGAGCAAACACCTCTGACTCAGAGGAGCCCAAGTTGGGGGTATAGGAAGCACATATTTTGTGAGTGAGGCACAAAATGTATTGGGGTGGTGATGAGAGGGGCCTTCCCCTTTCCACCCCTTATGCTCCTGGAACTAGGCTTCTGGCTGTGACTGGAATGACACCATCCACTGAGCATGGAGTCTGAGCAGCATTCACCTTATACCTTGCCCCACCCTACACAGTGTCACCAGTGAGCACCACCCATTGCTGCAGGCCACAGCCCCTATCACAACATGACTGCTGCACATAGTAGTTGATTTGATGTTACTGTCTTCATGGAGGGCTTGCTTGCTGCTGGGCTCTCTCCCACTGAGCGCCTTATAGCTCATGCCACCATCAGCCCCATAAGGGAGCAAGAGCATATTCTCCACTAGGCAGGGAGGCTATAGGGGCTCAAAACAACTGCCCAGCTTGGTCAGGAGTGAGAACCTGGGCTGGGATTTTACCCAGCATGCTGTGGCCCATCCTGCTCCCAGCACCTTGACAAGGATCTCAGCTGCCCTGGCCTTAGGGCAGGACACACCTCTTGACCCGCCAACCCAGGGTGACAAGAGCACAAGGTTGTCAGAGACCCAGCCAGGCTTAAGGACATCTCTGGGTCACATCAGATCCCACCAGTTCCATCCGAGGACTGTCCACTGTAGCTCCCACCAAAGGCCCAGTTCTCCCTAGGATCTCTGTTCAGGGATGACACTACTTCTTCCTGGAAGCCTGAGCTGCCCTCCAAAGCCAGCTGGAGCCCATTTCCATGCCCACCCCCGGTAAGTGAGGCCAGGGACATGCTCCCTCCCTTGGGCAGCATGAAGGGAGTGCCCAGTCCCTGTGCATCTGGGGAAGGTGGAGGTATAGGTACCTTGTGAACTATTTCACTGCTCCTGGTCACCAAAAAGCTGAAATATGAAAATTTCTGAAAAAGAAACCCAGAACTCTAACCTGACATCCAGGTTCCTCTCCCTGAGGTTAGGTTAGGATGGGAGTGAGAGCAAAACCCCAAGGTGGCATCCCAGACCTGCATCTGGGGATAGAAGCTTCTGCTGGACCTGGTGTAATACTGCCTTCTGACACCAGGGGGTGTGCCAGACAGTACCAGGAGGCTTCCTCAGCCTGGGAGGGTAGCTGCCCAGATGCAGAAAGCCTCTGTGGGTTTGCAGTTGTAGTATCCTGCCTTCACAGCTCACATTGCATTTCCTGCACCGTAGGGGTGCCTTAGTGGGCAACTTTAATGCTGCAGAACATCCTTTTGCTTTCTAAAGACTGACTTGTTTTGGCTCCTTATATAAAAGTGTGATGGAAGACACTCCCGTGGCCACCTCCACTTGACTCCTATATGCAGAACGGGGAACAGGGAGATGTCCAGAGCAAGACCCCAACCCCTGCTCCCTCAAGTACAACTGGAGAGACTGCTGGAGAAGCTAGAGAGGCTGCAGGAGGGCCCAGGGTGGCAGGACTCCAAACTCCAAGGCAGAAAGGGCAACAAATCCCCTGATGTGAATTTACCCCGAGGGTGGCCAGGACAGACTTGTGTGCCCCCCCACCCCCCGCCCCATGTGAAGACCTGGTGTTCTTCCAGACCTGGCTCTATGGCCCAGGTGGGCTCTGAAGAGCCCAGTGGAATTGGGAGTGCCAGGTCCCACCCCAGTTCTCTCTCCTCTTGGATGCAAGACTGACCTCCACTTCTGAGTGATTATGAGCCTTGGAGTTCCCAGTGATTTGAGGGTAGGAGCCCAAAGAGGGTGGCCGTGTCCCCCAGCTAAGAGGCTATGCAGACAACTAAGGGCCCACAGGAAAACTGAAGTGATGACTTAGTGCTTGGTTCTGCAGCCATGAGCATGTTCTCCCTCTCAGTCATACTCCCCACCCCCACCTCACTCCACCCCGAGGAAGGAGGGCAGACATGATCACATGGGTTACCAGGGGGGATACTGAACCCAGACAGATGATACACTACTCAGAGCTGATGATGCAGCAAAGTGCCACATCTGAGTCCAATGGAGCAGAGAGAGGTGTATGGGATTCCTGGAGATTTCCCCAGTCTAAAAAGCTCCTTCTCCCTAAGAATCTGAATTCTTTTTTTTCTTTTTTGTCTTTTTTTTTTTCGGCCACTGCAGCCTCGACCTGCTGGGCTCAGGTGATCCTTCTGCCTCAACCTTCCAAGTAGCTGGAACTACAGGCACGCACCACCATGCCCAGCTAATTTTTTGAATTACTGTAGAGACGAAGTCTCACCATCTTGCCCAGGCTAGTCTCGAACCCGTGGGCTCAGGCAATCCTCACCTCTGCCTCCCAAAGTGCTGGGATTACAGACGTGAGCCACAGCGCCCGGCAAGAATCTGAATTCTTATGTGATGACAACAGCAACATCATGGCAGCCCATCTATTTTCCACCTTCACCTGGTACTCCTGCCAGGTGTGCAGGCCCCTTGCTGGTCTGTAGCTCTCCCCTCAGGGCCCAGACCCCTGGACAGGCAGCTGGGAAGAAAGGACCTGCGAGGTGGGGTGGGTCAGGCACGCCAGGTCCGTTGGTGCCCCAGCACTGGATTCCTAAACAAGAGGTCCTCCAGGGCCCTGCAGACCCTTAACAGCACTGCCCACAGAACTTTTTGTGATGATGGAAATGACTTCTGTCTGCCCTGTCCGTGAGCCAGACACCCCTAAACACACCATACACACACACGGAGACCCTGAAACACAGTCGCTGAAACTGAGGAATTGAATTTCCAACTGTATTTAATTTACATCTAAAGAGCCACATCCGGTTAGGGGACACCATGGTCGACAGCGCGGCCCCGAGGTTCCTGAGCTCCCTTCCACCGCAGGACCCACAACACAGACTGCCTCAGGTGACATGCGGGGAAGTAGGCGGGGCACCATGAGAATCATGCCCGAGGCCCCGGAATGGACAGATGACATTGCGTTCCTGACGCACACCTGCCGGATGCACAGATCGCACCTAGTGTTGCCGGATCCCGGCAGCTGCTGTCTCAGAAGCGCAGCCGGCAACGCCCGGGAAGAAGCGGAGATACGTCCTCCTGGTCTCCCCTGCGCGGGCCGGGTAAGAAGAGCGGAGCGCGGGACTGAGGAGGCCGCTCAGCCCCTCCGCGCGCCCCGGCCCTCC